TTATGCTTATTGATCAACACCACAGTGAATTACTTAAGAGAGAAAACTTTTGGATAGGAATGTTGTTGACCAACCGGAAAGGTCTTAATGGCAGTCATGATTTTGCCCAACAATAGTAATTTACTCATATTAATTGTATATAAGTATGTTCTGTAGTTAAACTAGTAGTAGTTAAGTGTAGTTAAGCTGTAGTTTTGCCAACGCAACCAACCCATTTACTCCCCTGTTATATCCCTAGGCAGTCCAACATAAGTATACAAAGCAGTCAATCGGATCACAATGTGCCTTCCAAATCAAAATGCACCTATCCAACTGAAACTCGTTATTCTGCATGCATATGTATAAACAAAGCGATGACTACCCTTGCCACAAGGCACATTGGCATAGAATTTCTAAGGGCTGCACGTCAAATTCTTTTCGAGGCTTCAAGCATCCACGCACAAATTGAACCTGATAACTCACTTCCACCTTCTGTTCCCATGGACGTCCGTCCATGGTCGGTGGACATTTTGCTTCAATACGATGACAACAACGGCTAGAGAAAGGTAAGGCTGTCTTGCAAGTTGGCTTCAGAACGATGAACAATGCCTTTCTACATGACAGGTATTGATGAGTAGATCGACAATGCAACGTTCCATACATGAAAAAAGAGGTTGTCAAGGTCTAAGAGAAAACCCTGACATGTACAAGAAATTTAGTCCCATCATTAACACACCAGCAGACCAAACAGCTACTTGGAAGCCTAAACATTGTGCACCACCAGTCAAAGCTAACAATGACTGGGCCAGACAGTCAACATAATGATTTCCTCATCTTTGCATGGTCAAGTATCTCCTGCACATAGAAACTCTCTGTTTTGGGGCGAAAAGCACCATACCAAAACGCTGGATATGGCTTGTTCTTAAAAAGGCACAAGTTTGTCGAATGAGGAACTTGTCTTGTATTCTGAACAACTGCTCACAAAGGAAGAATTGGTACAGTCTGTGAGCTCGAACATGTAAAGCTCAAACATACTGGAAACAAGTAAAGGCATGTACGATGCTGGATATGCAACATGCAACAACCTTGGTCGATATGTGAGCCAACAAAATGTCTTGACTGCTCTATGCACATCAGAAATGTCAACGTATGAATTCAAACGACTGGAAAGCAATCATAGCTGAGATAAATTCCGCTTGCAATGCTGAATACAAAATTGTCATAAAACAGCTTGTTGTTGTCACCAAGCTTGAACTGCAAGAATATATAGAACTGGAAGAAATCTTTACCAATTATGGAAGTATCATAAAATATTCGATAGTTGCAGAGAGAGAGAAATCATGTTGATTTGGTGGTGGAGAAATACCAAGTATTATGAGCTTTCTACTCAATTCTCTTAATTCTAACTGGACTGAGAAGCAACAGGAGGACGGGAGGAAATAAGTTTAAAGGTCTTAGCACTGTAGCATTGAATAAGTATCACTATTTTGCCAACGAAACCAACCCATTTGGTCCCCTGCTATATCCCTGGGCAGTCAATCGGAACATCACAATGTGCCTTCCAAATCAAAATGCACCTATCCAACTGAAAGTTGTAATTGTGTATGTATATCTATAAACAAAGTGATGACTACCCTTGCCACAAGGCACATTGGCATAATCTCTAAGGGCTGCACGTCAAATTCTTTTTGAGGCTTCAAGCATCCACATACAAATTGAACCTTCTATTCCTATGGCGTCCATGGTCGGTGATTGGTGGACATTTCGTTTGAATACGATGACGGCAACAACGGCTAGAGGAAAGTAAGGGTGTCCTGCAAGTTGGCTTCAGAAGGATGTACAATGCCTTTCCACATGACTGTGTAGCTAAGCTGTAGTTTTGCCAACGCAACCAACCCATTTACTCCCCTGTTATATCCCTAGGCAGTCCAACATAAGTATATAGTCCAGTTGCCACTGTATATGATTCCTATAATAACCTAGTTGTTGTGAGAAGTGTATTGTTTTTTTGTGGTTTTATAATAACATGAGTCTATAGAACAATATTAGCTTGGTTGCCGGAGTGGCAACTTTGGGGAACTCTGGTGGTTGGCTTGAACCCAAGATGGTCGATTTAAAAAATCCAAGATGGCCGCCATGAAAAGGATAGAAAAGAATGTCTTCACCAATCAACTTCAAAGTAATTAAAACTAAAAAATATCCCATTTTTATATAACATTGATATCAGGAATCGATTTCTGATCTTAATTGTTTTTATTCCAGGGTCAATATGCGGTCAATATGCTTTCAAAGGTCAAGGTCAAAGCCATTTTAGGCCATTAAGTATAATATATTTAGTTTAACCTCAAACAATAAATTTTAATCTGTTTTTATAAGCTTATAAGCTATCTAGGCAGGCTCTTAAGGTCAATTGCAAAGTAATTTTACAGATGAATTCTGTAAAAAGTTACATAAACGTAATAATCAGAATTATTTTCAACAAAAGGAAATAATGGAAATAATGTAGGATAGATGAAGTACTTAATGGGATTGATGTAGATACCGCTGTCCACATCGCATAAAGTGTAAATTGATTACTCCTTCTTTACAAACACTGGCAGTTTAGGCATCAAAGCGATTTTTACTTGCTTCCTGCTTATACATTGTTTACAGAACTGTATGTCTACTAAAATAAGGTAAGTTTATCCTGAATGAGTGTATGAACTGATTTTACTTATTAAAAAAACCTAATGTAAAGCTCATATAATACAATAACACTTACAGTATTTTTTTTCAATTTGTGAAACAAAACATTTAGTGTTTTTTAAGTGCAAACAAAACGCTTAATTAATTAATTTTGCCATACGAAAAGTTTCTATAACATAAAAACTGAGGCTCACCGAAGCTTTTTTCGAGTTAAATTAGTTAAAACAAAATATCGGACACAGTGAAACGTGTAATGCGTACAGGTATACACGATAATATACACGATTTACACTTTTTTGTGACTTCAGTTATGGCACAGAATAAAGATCAGTAACAGAAGGGCAACTCAGCGGTGCAACGTGTCCTTGTTTTTTTATGCAAAAATATGCAGTTTACTGGCCAGAAAATGTCATTGACTGGCTAGGAAAATGGCGGCCAACATGCGTAATGCGACATGCGCGAGGACAAAAACTTCAAAGCTTCCGACGTAAGTTGCCCTTCTATGTGGATCTTTATTCTATGGTTATGGATGGCTCAAGGTGTTTTCTCCCAGTTTGTCATGGGGGTGGTGAGGAGAAGAGATTCACCGAGAGTGGCATCCACAAACTAATCTTGTGTGCTCATTCCCGTGGAGATGTGGATACAAAGGCTAAGCTGCAGGACATCATCGATGTTGATGGTAATGCCGCGAGCATAGTTTGCCACAAAGGTTGCTACTGTACTTATACATCGAAAGAAAAAATTAACCGAGTTAAAAACTCGCTAAAACGAAAGGCTGAAGGAGAATGTGTTAGGGTGGCTACAAGGTCATTTCAAGCTCAAGCAGATGATAATGGTGCATTTTGCTACAAACGCGATTGCATATTCTGTGGTGATGAATGTTTACCAAAAGATGATAAACACCCAGATAGATGGGACCGTTTTCGTGAATGCATGACGCATGAACGTTATGATAAAGAACATAATCCACTTCAATCTATGAAAGATGTTATTCTTGAGGTAGCTGAGCAGCGTAATGACGATATAGCTAGAAGGGTCAAGTTACACATTGGTTTTGTTTCTGACTTATCTTCTGCCGAGTGCAAATATCATGTTCGCTGCTACAACAATTTTATGAAAATTCCCAAATATGCCGACTTACCAACTGGAAACGTAGATGATAACGCCCTTAAGCAGGTCATTGAGTTCTTGAACGAAAACAGGTATAAAATCTGGAATAGCGTTGAAATGCATTGCCTATACTCTGATCTAGGAGGCAAACTATCACGACGCGAGATGTTTAAAAAGTTGACTGACTGCATTGATAAAGATTGTTATTCGGGTAGATGGGTGTGCTACCCTTGTTGGTTACCGTGAGTCTATTGCTAAAACTCTCAAGGTAGTCCAGGTGGTTGAAACGGATGAGAAAAGCAGTGATTCTCTATTGAGGAAAATCAAGCGTGAGGCACGATCAGTCAAGTATAACAGCGCTAATTACGACTTATCTGAGTTTACACGAGCTAACACAATCAAGGCAACCAGTCCCACATTGTTGACATTGATTTCGGATTTAGTTTCTGGTGGTGAAGTTACCAAGAAATCGCTCAGTCTGAGCCAGTCAATTCAAAGTCACATTACAGGTACAAGAAATCAAACAAAACTAGGATTGGGCGTAAAACTTCAGCATCGGTATGGCAGTTCCGAACTCATTAAGCTACTTCATGAGCATGGATTCATATCCACTTACGATGAGGTGCTAAGATTTCGGAAATCAGCTGCTCGTTTTCTCGGAGACAACGCACCGATTCTCCATCAGTTCATGGGGCTAAGTAGATCTGTTGGCATTATCTTTGCATGGTTTGACAACCTTGATCTCCAGGTGTTTGCGCCCAACGGTCGACGCAGTACTCATGTCCTTTCGCATGAATTCCAGCAACTGCATCCTGCAGGTATTCCAACCGCATCGTGCAAAGCCAGGGGAAAGCAATCTCATTATCCCCAGACTTTCTAAGAAGGCCGCACAGTCTAGGAATAGCAATAGTTCATCGGGCAGCCTTTCTTTACAGCACTACACCGGAAAGGTCAAGGTCAATCCCCCCACTATCCAAGTTACATCTGGTATTTCCTGTGAAGAAATACGTGCACGACAGACAAGTCTTGTTACTGCACAAGAGAAGGATATTAAGTGGCTTAACACACTTAACACACAGAGTGAAGCGTTGGAGTGGAGCGGGTTCAACAATCTCGAGTGACGCAATCTTGAACGTATGCTCCACTACTTCTTTGTCGCTGGCCACCACAACTACGCCCGTTACCTCACCCACCACCTCCTTGAAATGCACTATTTGCTGCCACCGATGGCCAAAGCAGAGTTGATATCAGTTGCCTTTGTGTGCCGTCATCAGGAGGGAATCTGGAATGGTGTGAGTTCTGACCAGTTTGGCGAGCAAACTGCCTTTAGAATCGGTAAAGGTGGACTGAAAGGTATGACCCTTTCTCCAGAGATGGTTGCTGAATGGATCGATTCGTTTCCCATCACTGCCTACATCTCTGATACCATGCAGCATTTATATCCTGCTGATGCAAGTGAAACACGAAATGTTCCACGTCACAAGGAGGAAGGACAAAAGCGGAGAGAAATGGATGCCGATGATCGACGAAGAATCTCAATTGAGCTATCTAAAATGTCGCATCCGTTAGAGAATCAATCGCCACACCTGTATAACATCGCAAACGGTAGCTTTGCTCCCCCAGAGTCCCAGATCAATGTTGCAGAATCAGTCAGCATTGGCAAAAAGATGGTTTCGGAGTTCAGGGCATCTCTTCCCTCTGGATTTCATGCTACAATTTCAAGTCCTCTCAAGACCATGGAAAACATAAAGAAAGGTGTGAAAGTGGGCGACAAGAAGATATTTGACCTGGAAACAATCTTCCTTAGACTGTTGACCATTGGACAGCAGCGACAGATGGAGTTAGCACTCATCTTTCAGTATGAGTTGTGCCCCATACCTCCTTCTCTCATCGACGAGTATGGCTGCTTGCGAAAAGGGAGCAAGGCACCACTGGCTCACAAACTCTGTGTACAGACAGCGCGACCATGTCCACCTGATCTCACCATAGTTGATGTGAGCCAACTACTCTACCGCATCGTCTGGCCATGCAGGGGAGATGCATCGATAATAGTGGAGTCTATCAAGACCAGATTATCATCTCGTCCAGGCAAGAAAGTCTTAGCATTTGACAAATATCATGAAATTTCTGCAAAGGACCACGAACGCATGCGACGTGCTGGCCTCGGCTCCATCAATTACGACCTCACCATCAACACACCACTACCCAAACGAGATGCCATCATGAGAAATAAGCACAACAAGCTGCAACTCTCAAAAGTACTCAGCACCTACAACTTTGGCAAAGATGTTACCGTGGAAAGCCGCAGCGATGGTATATTCGCCCATGATGAAGCAGATATAACAATGATTTCCTACCTACTCATGGCTGCCAAATCCGGCACGGAAGTTGTCCGCGTTCTCTCAGATGACACCGATGTGTTCGTGCTGCTCGTGTACTGGGTATACCGACACCAAATCCAAGCAACAGTGCATATGGAGCGGTGGGATTTAATTTAATTTAATTTAATAAATCTTTCCCTATTAATAAACAAAAATAGAAAAACTAATAATAAATATTACAAAATGACGTACATACACACTAACAAATGTCAAAGGGAGGATAGCAGTAGGAGGAAACTAAATTCCTATTTATGAACTGCTCTCCACGTTAAACCAAAATAATAATAAAAACCCGAAAAAAAATAGAATAGAATAAGTTAACATTGTTTCAGGAGTAGAAACGACATTAGTTTTTGCTTAAAGCTGGACAATGAAGTGGCTTACACAACATCCGATGGCAAAGAATTCCAGTCTGAGATATAGCGATTGAAAAACGAGAACTTAAAGTAATTAGTACGTGCATGCTTTGGTCTTAGTTTATATCTATGTCTTGATCTAGTACGAGATTCTCCCACAATATCCAGATATTTAAATTTGTCAATATCACACAAACCAAACATGATCTTATATAACTGAACAAGACATAGGTACTTTCTACGCAACTCAAGCGACGGCCACTTGAGCTTCTTTAGTCTTTCCGTATAGGATTGATCTGGGCCACATATTAATCTGGTAGCTCGCCGTTGAATCTTTTCCATTGCATTTACATGTTTAATTAAGTATGGATTCCATACTTGGCAACAATATTCTAAAATTGGTCTTACTAATGACTTAAAGGCAACCTCAACGCCTTTTCGATTTTTGTAGCCAAATGTTTTCCGTATTAAACCCAAGATCCGATTAGCTCGTCCACAGATAGAGCTAATGTGATATTCCCAAGATAATGAGGATTGTAACCAAACCCCTAGGTGTTTATGTTGTGCAACACTCTGTAATGGTATACCAACAAGATTATACTCATAGTTCAAAGTTTTTTTTTGCCTTGTGACATGAACAATTCGACATTTTTCGTTCTTCAACTGGACAAACGATGCATCACACCAATCTCCTACTTGATTCAAATTTTCTTGAAAAAGGACGCAATCGTTACTTGTAGAAATTTGACGATGAATAACACTATTGTCAGCGAAAAGGTCAACATTACTAGTCACACTTGAAGGTAAGTCGTTGATGTAAACAAGAAACATTAAAGGTCCTATGATACTTCCCTGGGGAACTCCTGAAGTGACCTCTAACCAATTTGATTGATGACCATCAATCACAACCCTTTGTTTTCTGCCAGATAGAAAATTATTTATCCATTTTATTAGCGGATCACTTATTCCATAAGATTTAAGCTTATTGATGAGATGTGGATGAGATACCCTGTCGAACGCTTTCGCAAAGTCTAAAAATGCAACGTCAATTGCGCCTTGTTTATCCAGCACCGAGAACCAGTGTTGTACTAGCTGTAGCAGTTGCGTAAGACATGATCGAAACTTTCTGAAGCCATGTTGGTTTTCACATAATAGGCGCAACTCTGAGAGAAAATTCATAATATGTTTGTGAACCATACGTTCTAAGGTTTTAACAACAATACTCGTGAGAGAGATTGGACGGTAGTTCACAGCCATAACACGTTCACCTGCCTTATATATGGGTACTACATTTGCCGTTTTCCAGTCGTTAGGTAACTCACCAGTACTCAGTGATAAATTGAATATACGAGTCAGGGAAGGAGCGAGTTCATAAGCACATTCTTTCAAAGCAAAATCCTTGGTGAAATGTTATCTGGACCGGAAGATTTAGTAATATCTAATTCAGATAATAGACTAGCAACATCGTCTACTGAACATACCAAGTTTTTAATGATATGATTTGTATACAATGTGTAGTACGGGACCGATGATTCGTCACGTTTATTGAATACAGAATGAAAAAATGTGTTAAAAAGATGGGCAATTGATGAAGGACTGTACCCTTTAAGGCCATTAAATTCGATTGTTTTTGGAACACTTGATGTACCTGTGCGGGACTTTACAAAAGTCCAAAACTTCTTTGGGTTCGCCCCAAGGGAGTTTGTAAGATTATTAACATATCTGAAGTAAGCTTTCCTTAATTTATCTTTAACTTCATTATTCAATTTTTATAATTGGACCATTTATTAGGACTCCCAGAGGATTTCGCTATTTTCCATAGCCTTTGTTTTTTATGAATTAATTTCTTAATGTCCGAGTTAAACCAAGGAACATTCCGCTTAGACGAAAGGAATTTGGAAGGGATATTACGTTCAACAGCTTTGAAAAACAAACTCTTCCACAAACTCCAAACAACCTCAATATCCGATACCAAGTCAATACAGTTCCATGGGATATTTCTAAAATCCTCTTTTAAACCGTCCCAGTCAGCATTTTTATAATCGTATACTAGTCTGGGACTACATTTACGGCGAGCAATCTTAACTTTCAGTGAAAATTCAATAGAATCATGATCAGAGTTAGCTAAGCCTTCACAAACGTTTGACCAAAGCATTAATTCTGGTTTATTTACAAGGACAAGGTCAAGAATGTTACCTTTTCGAGTAGGTACATTTATCGTTTGATGTAAAAAGTTGTCATCGATCATGTCACAAAAATATGCGTCGCTGCATAAAGTCGAAGGCGACGGAGCGAACCAATTAATATTTGGAAAGTTAAAATCTCCAAGTAATACAAGTGTTAAGTTTTTCCCATTACGTTCAATCATCGATAAAGATTTTTCCAGTTCTTGCATATAGTTCAAGTCTGTCGACGGCGGCCGATAAAAAACTCCCACTAGCATGGTTGTAAGCGGATTTGGTATGACAACCTCGCACCAGAGCACTTCGCATTCGGTTTCATAATCAAAACGTCTTCTAACACTCAAATGATGACTGCATGCTACTAATATTCCACCCCCGCTTCTTGACCGGTCTTTCCTAATAACTTGATAGGAACTAGGAAAGATTTCACCATCGTTAATCGAAGAATCTAGCCAGGTTTCTGTCACGGCAATCACGTCATAATCATAAGATGACAATCGGGTCCTTAATTCTCTATCTTTATTCACGATACTTCGAGCATTGAAAGACCAAAATGTCATCTTATCTTTTCGATCATCTACTGACTGTACAGGCCCAGGATTCAAGCTGACATCACCAGCTAATAGTATTAAATAAATAGCGGTTAGAGTTGATCTTGTTAGCAATA